TGTCCAGGCTAGAGTGAGTGCCGTGGCGTCAGCCTAGCTCACAGCAACCTCAAACTCCTGGGCTTGAGTGATCCTTCTGCCTCAGCCTCCCGAGTAGCTGGGACTACAGGCATGCGCCACCATGCCCGGCTAATTTTTATATATATATCAGTTGGCCAATTAATTTCTTTCTATTTATAGTAGAGACGGGGTCTCGCTCTTGCTCAGGCTGGTTTCGAACTCCTGACCTTGAGCAATCCGCCCGCCTTGGCCTCCCAAGAGCTAGGATTACAGGCGTGAGCCACAGCGCCCGGCCTGAATGCATTATTTTTAAGATTTAGTCAAGTTATTCCTTAATTTTTGTCTCTAAACATTTGAGTGGCATAGTCTTTTTTTCTTGAAGAGATACATTGATTTTTATCAATCATATATTGAGTGATATAAAAATGAAGTTTGTTTGATTCAGATTAACATTAATGCTTATTGTTCATGGATAAAGAGAGAACTCAGAGTGCCTGTGTGACTAAGTGTCAAGACTTCTAGGGAGTGTTGGTTCTGTCAACCAATTTGCTTTGTGGCTTTAATAAAGATATAACTACTATAAAGATTTAGTGTTTGAACATGCATGAAATAATTTGCCAGAGCATTTGATAAAAGGCAAAGAGCTTTTTTTGCTTACATGTAAAAGCAATGTTTTAACTGTTTTAAAAGGACTTTATTTCATTTGATTTGGTGAAATCATTTAAAGGCAAGAAGATGGTGGTGATTATCCTTATCAGTGGGAAAAGCATGAGCTTCAGAGTCAAACCAATAGAGAGCAGGATACCTCCCACCACTTACTGTCTAATCTTGGGTGTCTTAAAACTCTGAATCTTGGTTTCTACATCTGAAAACCACTTATCATGGTAGCTGATCTTTACAGAGCATGTACTGTGTGCCCTGCATTGTGCTAAACACTTCAGATACATTATTTATTTTAAACAGTGACTTTATGAGGTAACACCGCCTTATCCTCATTTCACAGGCGAGGAGCCAGAGGTGCAGGAAAGTAGGTCACAAAACTAAATTCAAGGTCACTTAACTAAATTCAGGGAGATAAGTGTTCAAAAAGTCATTAGGTATTATTATCGATACCATTATAAAGGAAACCAAAGCATATTCATCTATGAGCTGCAGATTAAATCCTGCTTCAACATCTGTTTCCCAAAACTCATTCCAGAATTCTAGAGTGAAATTTCAAGATGATGAACAACTTGAAAATAAGAACTATGTCTTATAATTTTCTTATTTATTCCACAGGTCTTAGTATAATATGCATTTGAGCAAATAGTATGCATTTGGATTTACTGATTGTTATGAATTTCTCTTGAAAGGACAAATGTGAATATATTCATAAATAAAAAATGGCCATTTTATGAAAAAATATTTCATTCTTCCTGAGGGCTAATTCTTTTATTCTATCATTCTTTTAAAAAGTTGCCATTGAAGGGTAATTTTAGGACTTCATTCTAAAAGTCTTTTGTCTTCCTCCTGGTATAAGAAAAAAAGAATGAGGAAACTTTAGAGAAAGTTGACCTCTCAAGAATTTTTGTGTGGGGAATTACTAAGGAATTCAAGTCCATAAGCCATTTTTCTCCATTTTATTTTTATATATTTTCAACAAGCTGTACTTCTAGTGAGTAAATGTTTGTAATTTTTTATACCAGGCCAAATTCCATTTTCTTATATTCAAAGTTCATTGGATGTGATGAAGTCTAATTACAACTCCAAGTTGAGTGCATTTTAATAGACTATTTTAAATTTAGTCTATTTTGGGCTCACTTTACCTCAAAACATTCTTTCAAAATAACATTTTATAACAAATCCTATAATGTATATCTTAGTTTCAAAAAATAACATGTATAGTTTTATTCTGATTATAAAAATGATATACCTGTGAATGATGCTGACATACCAATAAACCTTTCTTCATTAGAATACAATTCTGTCATATTTTAGAGATAATCAACTATTTAGATTTGGAACAAATGGCTTCTTTTTTAGAAACTTAAGATTCCTGTGTTTCTTATTTTGTTTACAAGTAGCAGTTGAAAAGTGGGAAGAGACTGCCAAATGGACAAAAATGAGATATTTTTCTTCTTTCATTATCTCCCTGTGCTTGGTCAGGATTTTTTTCTTTCATATGCTCTTTGAAACTATGATACTTTGGTCTACTCTGGATCTTTGTCTTTTGTTCACTGTTGCATCCAAGGGCCTAGAACAGTGCTTGGCTCATAGTAGGTCTCAAATGTTTGTTGAATGAGAGAATAGAGGGTCTGTTGTTCTGATCTGGACATCTTTAGGGTATGCATTTTACTTTTTTATTTACTCATCAAATACGTTGTGAGGATTAGGCATTATCTACTGGAGTTTTGCTTTTGTAAATAAGAGGGAAAGAACTTACAGACAGAGAAATCAGTGTAGTCCAGAAAACACAACTCTATAGAGACAAAGAGCAGGTTAGTGGTCGACTGGAGTTGGGGTTGGAGGTAAGAACAAAGAATCACTGCATGAAGAATGAAGAAGGTTTGAAAAATTAAAAAAAAAATAAATAAAAGAATCACTGTAGATGGGCAAAAGGGATCTTTTCTAGGTGAAGGAAATGTTCTAAAATTGGATTGGGGTGATCCTTATACAGATTTGTAAATTTATTTTAAAAATCATCAAATTGTTAAACAACTGAGTGTATTTTAGAATATATAAATTATACTTCAGTAAAGCTTTTTTTAAAAATAAATAAAACCAAAGTAGGAGTTAAAAAAATTTAATTTTTTATTAATTGGAAAACTAGAATAATGTAATTTTTAAAATTTCTTTCTTTGGATATGACTTGTTGCTATAAATAAATTACTAATTTACCTAAAATTAGTTTTTCTACAGAGGATTTCAGGACAGAAATGTTAATTTTATTCCCTACTTAGGTACGTTCTTTTGTGATACCGGAAACTTGAAACTTATAAGGCTCTTAATATAAAACATCTTGTTTCATCTAATTTGTTCTTACCCTCTTTTATGGACAGTTTGGATAATTGCTAAAGCCATAAAAAAACAATAGGTCTAAATTATTCCACAATAATTTGTATAGTTTGTTTTCACTGAATTGCAAAGTTAGAATACACTCTAGTTTGTTTCCTATTGCCTTTCTGGAGGATTGGTTTAACTTATCTAGATAACTTTGTTTTCATGTTTTTAAGCAAATTATATCCTCCCCAATGTGTTATCCTCAGGTTTTTTTGTTTATTTTGGCTTGGAGTTTTAGTGTTGTTTTGTTTTGTTTTTGATAGAGGTGGGGGCAGGAGGCTCCAACTCTCCAGCTCTGGCTGGTCTTCAACTGCTGGCCTCAAGTGATCCTCCCACTTCAGCCTCCCAGCGTGCTAGGACTATAGGTGTGAGCCCCTGCCGCTTGTATTTTAAAATTACTTGTTGGGAAAAAAAAATTTTCCATGAAATTGATAGAAATCTGATGCAGATTTTTGCATATTATTAAAGATATCCTTCATGTGCACCCTCCAAGGAAGCACAGCATTTAAAAAAAAGTTGGACTGTGTCCTGAAAAATTATTTATAAAAAGCTTTCCCACAAGTATAATAAAGGCCAAATAGTCTAAAGATGCGATTAAGGTTATTGAGATCAGTTAATTCTCAAGTCTGACAGTATTAAGCATTGGCAAGGACATGAAGGCCTAGAGACATTGTTATAATTAAAAGTTACTAGAAATGTGAAAATTAATTGAGTTGGCTTGATTTTTTTATTAGTTATATCATCATTCACTTATTGTGTGGTTGGTAACAATAGATGGTTCCCAATTTACAATGGTTTCATTTAGCATTTTTTAACTTTATGATGGTGTGAAAGCGATTACACATTCAGTATGTTCCTTGACAAACTGTGGAGTTTCCTCCCAATGAACCCATCAGAAATTGAAAAATACACTTCAACTTATGATATTTTCAACTTAGGCTGAGGCTAAGTTGAGGAGCATTTGTATTAGGTGGTAATGATAGTTGTTATTAATATAATTAACATATACTGTATAGTACTTGCTATATACTAAACACTGTTAAAATGGCTTTTCTGATAATAACTCATTTAATTCTCTCAATAGCCTTATGAAAAAGGGACTATTTTCCTCATTTAACAGATAAGGAAAATAAAGCACAGAGAAGTTAAACAACTCACTCTAAGTCACACAGCTAGACAAACTGAGGTACTCAGAACTACTATACTGTATTATAATGACAGGACTGGTTTCCTTTTCTTTTTCTTTTTTCTAAAAGAAAAAAATTGTTCATGCTAAAATGACTTAAGAAATATTTAGTATAGGAAAATGAAAAGAAATGAGTATTAATACTTTACTGCTAGAAGGAAAAATATTTTCCTGCCTTCTTTATTTTTATTTCTTCTGTGTTTCTGTCATTGTTATTTTTATGAATCGGCGTTATTTCCAACAATTGACACAGTCTGATAACTACTGTTTTTTCATAGAGTGCTAGGATAATAGTTCAAACATTGTTATTTGAATTTAGTCACAGTCTTTTATTAGGATTTAAGTGTCTGATAGTTTCATCAGTTGTTCATTTGGATGGGTTGAACATTTCTGTGGGAAATCTTCAAGCTTTATCTGCAGATTAAAAGACATAGAATGTAAATGCACTTCATATTTCTGTTTTTTGAAAAATTTGTATTATTGAAACTCAAATGTGAACTGTAATTTCACATGTAAGAATGCTTATGGTTGTTGATTAATTGATGCTGTAAGTATCAAATAAGTGAACACATTTTAATAAATTGATCTCTTTAAACTCATGATTTTATAATTTTTAATTGATAAAAAGTGTTGCAAGCCTTTAAGCTTATTAAACAATAAGTTATCTCTTACAGTATGTTTTGTATGAGTATCTTTTGGGACAAATGTCAAGGTATTCTTTTTTCTTAAATCAATCATTTCTCCTCCTTTGTTTTTATTTTATTTTATTTTTTAGAATTTTGGCTCCTAACAGTAATTATCAAGATGTTGAGACCCTCTATAACTTCCTAATCAAGTATGAGGTATGAGAAATATTTTTAAATGATTATCACATTTCCATTATAAACAAGTTTTACTGTAAATAAGCGTAGTAGGAGTTATAAAACATAATAGAATGCTTTCTGATTGATATTTGCTTTATATTAAATTCTTGAATGCTGTAGAAGTTTGTTAGTGACACATTTTTTTCCTTTCTTTTAAAAAAATTATATATATAATTGCTTCCTGGCCTTTTAGCTAATATCATCTGTAAAAAATTATATATGTTTAAGGTATTCAACATGCTGTTTGGGCATATTATACATAATGAAATAGTTAAGTAAATCAGTATATCCATCATATCTCACATAGTTATCCTTTTTGTGTGTGTGCCACAAGAGCACCTGAAATTTACTCTTTTACCAAAATCCCCAACTACAATACAATAATATTAACTATAGTACTCATGTTGCATAATCTCTAGGCTTGTTCATCCCACATATCTGCAACTTTCTATCCTTCGAAATGCATCTGCCCATTTTCTTCCCCCTTTTCCCTATTAGTGAGATATTCAGTTCTTTCTTTTGTTCCCTAAGTAAAAATGCTTGTAGAGTCCTACAATAACACACTTTCTCCAACATGGAATTGTTTGTCATCAGGGGTACTACTGGCATTTTGGACAGGTCCTTTCTTCATTGTGGAACATTGCAGATGTTTAACATCCATGAACCATATGTACTAAATGCCCATAGCTGTTCCAGTTATTGACAACCAAAAACATTCCACCACCCTACCCAATTTACATACATAAAACGGCCCCCAGAGAGGAAGAAACACCTCTGGGTTGAGAAGCAGTAATTGCTGGGAAAGAAAATTATAATTTAGTTTCCTCTATAGCAGCAGCATAGACTGTGGAGTTAGAGCTGTGGTGAGGCTCCAGTGTATTTTGTAAATTAGCCTGCATACTTTCCTCATCATTGCTGAACCAAGGAAACTATTCTGTTGATTTTCAATTTCTACTTGCTCTTTGTGTATGTTCTCTACATATACCTACTTTTCAATTTTGTGTTTTTGTCTTTGTGTGTGTTTAACAAAACACTTTAAATGAAGAGATGTTGACATATATTCAGGTCTCACATTTCTTATGGAATCAAACTCTATTTCTTTATTTCTATTCCTGGTTAGCTTTATTTAGCTTTTTATATGCCACCTCTTCCATTAAGAATCTAGTGATTAAGAACACAGAATCTTACATAATCAGAAGATACATCTAAAAGAAAAAGAAACTAAAAGGATAAGAAAAATTATTTTAAAAAGAAAGAATTATATAAAAAATAACAAAAATAAAAAATAAATAACAGACTGTGAGGTCAGGCTACCTGTATTTATTTTTTTTATGACTACCTGTGACTCACTCTGTTGCCTGGGCTAGAGTGCTGTGGCATCAGCCTAGCTCACAGCAACCTCAAACTCCTGGGCTCAAGCGATCCTCCTGCCTCTGCCTCCCTAGTAGCTGGTACTATCGGCATGCACCACCGTGCCCAGCTAATTTTTTCTTTGTATTTTTAGTTGTTCTGATAATTTCTTTCTATTTCTAGTAGAGACGGTGTCTTGCTCTTGCTCAGGCTGGTCTTGAACTCCTGACCTTGAGCGATCCTCCGGCATTGGCCTCCCAGAGTGCCAGGACTACCTGTGTTTAAATGTTGGCCTTTCCACTTATTAAGTATATGATCTAGGAAGTTATTTAATTCTCCTTGTCTCAGTTTCTTCATCTGTAAAATGGGAATAACAACAGTAGATACATTATAGATATTCTGTAAAGACTAAATAATGTGATATATATAGTGTTCCCAATAGTACCAGACACAGAATAAATGTTCAATATGTGTTACTCTATTCAAATAAAGGCAAAGAATGGTGTTCATATATGCTTTTTAATAATAAGCCTTAACATATTATGTGATTATTAAGATTTCTTCTTTTGAGATGATTTATACAATTATTTCATCTTTCTGAATTTTGAATTAAGACATTGATCTAACAATAAAAATGTATTAGAAACAATAGGACAGTTTTAAAATTACATCTCCTGGAAAATTCTGGGGCATAGGTCTTTTTGAGTTTAGTATCTATTGCTAAGAGTGTTGGCAGTGTTCCTAAGAATATGGGGGTCTGATTTTGATTCTCAATTTTTTTTTTTTTTAATTTGAGAGATGGGTCTCTTGCTGTGTTGCCAGGCTGGAGTGCAGTGGCTATTCACAGACACGATCATAGCTCACTATAGTCTCTAACTCCTGGGCTCAAGCTATCCTTCTGCCTCAGACTCCCAAGTAGCTGGGACTACAGGTGCGTGCCACCACACCCAGCTGATTATCAGATTTTTAAAATCATTTCTCCTAGAAGAATTTCTTCCCCTAGATCAATTACTACATTGGAGATACTAGTCTTATATTATAAACAGTGATAGGATCATCTAAATCTTTTAAGAAGTTTGACTGTTTTTATACTTAACCTTTGCCTTTTGTTCTTGAATTTTTAAGAATTAAAAATAATCGAGCCATTAACTAGTATTTGGCTTTCATTGTGAGTAGTACAGCTAAAAAGTAATGACACCAGTTCCACAATCTACTTCATAGTCACAATTCTAATGTTTAGTGACATCTTTTATCATCTATTTTTCCCCCTGGAAATTAAAATTGTACATTTAAACGTGGAGATATTTCCAGTGTAATTTAGAATGTCCCAATGTGAGTAAGTAAAAATGTCTTAATAGTCAAAATTCATGAATATGATAAAACGAGATATTTCAGGTTAGACCATCATGAATTTGTACTTCAGTTTTTATTAGTAAATTAACTGCCTACTTTCTAAGTTATTTGCTATAACCTGGAGCCATGTCACCTTTATATGCTGGCTGTGTTGTTAGATAAATGTCTGAATGTATGTGGATGGTTGCTTTTAAAACTAAAGATAAATCTAGATACTTAAACAAAAGATATTTTAAAAGCTGAAGGAACTGTTTTGTATTCATATTATATCAGGCTGAAAATCAGTTTTTCAGCTGATTTTTCTCAACAGTTGATAGGAAAGTATTATTCCCTTCATCCTCTGATCAAACATCTTCAATGGATTGACATTTGGTGGCTTAAGTTTGGATACATTGTAGGTCCTGACATGTGGAGCAGTAGTAAAACTATCAAAGACCCTTGGGATAAGGGCAGAACATGTAAAGAAGTAAGTGGACTGGTTGATAGTTTAAATGTATATTTTAGACCATTTTGAGAAGATTCTTTTAATAAAAATTATAAACTTCATTAAACTTTGGGTAAATTATTAAATATACCAATTTTATATAAAGTCATTAAATATAATATTAAATAGTATATATCATTAAATATAAAAATAATCCTCATTTTAAGAAAAATATTAGGACATATATTTGAAAACTATATATTTTTTAACTTTCAATGAATGAAACATTTTCTACACAAGTGTGGTAAACTTTTCTATGAAAACATTGAAGAAAGTCATGGAATTTTTATAAATAAGCAATACCCTGAACTCTATAGAAGACTTTTATAATATGAATCTTTAAATTAGTATTAATTAAATCAAGGTAAGAATGGTTTTCCCTGTCAAAAAATGCATGCCAGCTACTAACATTTAAAAATTACGTATATATGTGTGTGTATGTATATTTCTTATAGAGACAGGGTCTCTATAACTATGTTGCCCAGGCTGGCCTGGAACTCCTGGCCTCAAACAATCCTCCTGCCTTGGCCTCCCAAAATGCTGGGATCACAGGACTGAGCCACCATTGCCTGGCTTAAAATAATTTAAAAAGTGAATTGAATAGAAAATAGTCCTATTGAGTTTCCTTCCACTAATTCTAAATTTATGAAAATTTAGGCACTGTGCTATTTGTTGAGTTATCTGTTAAAAAGGATTTTCCTTTACAAGTTTCCAGGTTCTTTCTTGCACATAAATAGAATATAGCCTAAATCAGTAGTAAGCTTTAAGAAATAAAGGATTCCTTTACTGTGTCTTCCATATGTGAGCCACAACTAGTTTTTGTTTGATGAAGGATTTCTATGTTTATGGTATTGTTATCTCTGAATTATAACAGATATTTTTTAAATTGAACATATTAGTTTAAATATGTATGAACATATTAATTTAAATACGTAGACCTCAAAAATCTGAAAAATACATTTCTTTTGAAAATGTCTGTAAATCAAACTTTGTCCTAAATAAGACAGACCTTTCACACAGTTTATATAGCATTACGTTTTTTCTGTTCATTCGATCTCCACTACATCCAGGCTTATCTCACCCCTACTTGTTTTATGAACAGATTGAGTTGTAACAATAGGACTAATATTTTTGCACCACAGTTCAGTGTTAGTATTGTGGTCACTGAATTTCTTATTGTTACTGTTTAATCTTTTTTTATTCAGTAATTATTGAAATTCTGCTCCCTCAGAATATGGGCCACTCTAATTGTGTTCTTATCACTCATTTGATTTAATATGTATTTTTAATAACTGTATTTGGGTTCTTTTCAGGTAAATAAAAATGTCAAATTTACTGCCCAGGAACTTTATGATTGTGTTTCTCAAACTGAGTATCGGTAAGTTACATCTATGTATAGATATGCCACTGTAACAGGCTTTTACCACGGAAAGCGCCACTGGGGCGGTGGTGAAGTGTTCTTATGTCTTTTCACTACACTATGATTTTTTTAACCTTTATTAGTATTTCTTATACATACATGCCAAAGGCTGTGGGCATGTGTGTCTATCAGCTATAAGGTTTAAAGTGATTCTCAAACTTTTTGGCTCTAAGACTTTTTTAAATTAAAACTTTTTTTAAAAAAATTATTGAAGATCTCAAAGAGCTTTTGTTTATGCATGTTGTATCTATATATATTTACTGTATTAGAACTGAGAATTTAAAAATGTTTATTTATTAATTCATTTAAAAATAACTGCATGTTAAAATAAATAATATATTATTATGAAAACATTTTTCCCCAAACAATAAATATTACTGTCAAAATTGGCATTTTATACATTTTTGCAAATCTTTTTAATGTCTGGCTTAATAGAAGACAGTGGGATTCTTACGTTAGTTGGTTGCAATAATCATGTCATGCATGTATTGCTGGAAAACTGTTGCTCTTTTTTTTTTGAGACAGAGTCTCACTCTGTTGCCCAGGCTAGAGTGCCCTGGTGTCAGCCTAGCTCACAGCAACCTCCAACTCCTGGGCTCAAGCAATCCTTCTCCCTCAGCCTCCTGAGGTAGCTGGGACTACAGGCATGTGCTACCATGCCTGGCTAATTTTTTCTATATATTTTTATTTGGCCAATTAATTTCTTTCTATTTTTTAGTAGAGACAGTGTCTCGCTCTTGCTCAGGCTGGTCTCAAACTCCTGAGCTCAAAGGATCCGCCAGCCTCGGCCTCCCAGAGTGCTAGGATTACAGGCCTGAGCCACCGTGCCAGGCCTATATTTAGTATCTTGAGTGCATTGAAGAATGATGATTACCACTCAGCAAGCTTTCTCTTAATAGCATAGGACCTGGGGGCCAGGAGGAGGAAGAGCTAGGAGTGGAAAAGTACTGAGTCAGAGTCAAGAAAAATGCCTCAGCCAAGGGCTCCAATAGGAGGTCTCAGTGGAGGTACCTGGGAAGTGCCTCAGCCAATCCCTGCCACCCCACCTCCCACAAGAGCGTCTCCAGAAGGATTGGCCTGGGCTAGGAATGTTAGATGCCTGTGTGAGCATGGCTACGCAAGCGGGGAGTCTGAGTCTTCGCCTGTAACTACCTCCAGAAGACAGCATTCACTGGTCTGGGGGAAAAGGGTGTATGGCATTTTATGGCTTCTTGGCGTCAGTTAGTCTAGAGCCCACATAGCAAGTGGCTTTGAGAGAGAATTATTTAGCTCAAAGGGGAGTGAGGTAATCATTGTTTCATTTTAATGCCTGTCTGGCCTGATAATTTGAAGATACTCGCATTCCTCAGATAAAAAGTTTCTTTTCTTCTTCTTCTTTTTCCCCCCATGCCAGCATATGCTGTTTTCTTGAGATAGTTCCAGGTGAATGAATACACAGACTCCCCGTAAAGCCAGGCTCACACACGTATCTGCATAGGGGGATGGGGGAATTGGAGAGATGTTGATCAAAGGACACAAAATTTCCATTAAATAGAAGGATTAAATTCAAGAAATTTATTTTACAACATGATGACTTTAGTTAATAACAATGTGTTATATTTTGAAAATCACTAAGTAGATTTTATGTGCTTTCACCACACAAAAAAAATCTGAATTAATACATGTTAATTAGCTCAACTAAACCATTCCACAATGTATACATAGTTCAAAACATGTTGCAAACAATAAATATATACAAATTTTTGTCAATTAAGGAATGTCAAAGAAAAAAAGAATTTTTATCTAAGCAGCTGTCTCACAGTGATTTCATGTCTCTTTTCTCCTAGGGAAAAGTTAACCATCGGCTGCTGCCAGCTGGTCGAGATGGAATATACCATGCAGCAGTGCAATGCGTCTGTCTACATGGAGGCCAAAAACAGGGGATGGTGTGAGGACATGCTTAACTATAGCACATAAGTGCTGATTTGTAACTTAAAAGGAATTGCGTTTGTCTTCAAGAATAACAGAGTAACTTTCAACCTGGTCACTTTTTTGAGTCAAACCCAAGAGAATTTTAAGAAATGTTTCGTAAGTACAGAAAGGTGATTGCCTATTACTGACAATCTCAGTGAAGCTCTAAAAAGCCTAATGCATCCCTTGTGGGATAAACCGTGGACTCCACTCTTCTGGAGCTGACAATACCTCCCTACCTCTACTCCTGATACTGAGCCAGTAATCTGTAAGGAAAAGAGAGCCATCTTTTCAGTCTTCCTGGGGCAGGAGGCACTGTGGCGTCTGAGGAAGGCCCAAGGCATTAGCATCTCTCTCAACCCTAAGTGTAGGCATGTGACCAGAGACACTGCCAAACCCTAGGAAAGAATTAGGCTAGGACCATGCTTACCACATTCCACAAATGAAATCTTACCATGGCTGTTTTATGATCAAACTGATCCATGTGGACCTGGTGAAAATAATACCCACCACCACCACCTCCCTCAAGGTAATGAAAGAATTTGACTTCAGCTCCTACTTCCCATACCGCCTCTTCTCTTCTTCTCTGGGCTTGTCTCTTTTCAGTGCATTTCTAATGGAGAAGAGCAGGGTGACCCCTATGCTGAGTTTCTCCTTAAATGTGAAGTAGTATGGATTTATGTGCTTAAATGTGAAGCAGTGACTGATGTTTGCCACTGGCTAAAACCAAGGGTTTCATTGACTTATTTCTTATTGAGTTGACCAGTAAGTTGGAAATTCCTGTTTACTGGTGTGTGTTATGCTTTTGTTAATACATCAGAGTAAATCCAATTTGGTATTCTATAATAAATGTTTATTTTAAAAAATAATAAATAATTTTTAATTAAGATTTTGCTTTCATTTTATTTCTAAATTATATTTCCAAAATGTGTATAAAGTATGATTATAAAAGTCACCTCCAATAAAAGAGAACTTATTCAGGATGTTCATTAGTGGTTGGTGCAGGACCTGTGAAGCTTTATGTTTGCTAGATAGGAAACTGGCCACTGACTGCAGGGATGGCACTGCAGAGTGCCATCAGAGATAGCAGCCTCTGGGCAAACGGAGAAGCTTCAAAAGAGCATCTATGCTCTCTGCTGCTTTCCTTTTCCTCCCAGAGGAGCCAAAAATGCACTCACACTCCCCTACCACCACCACCACCATTGCCACCACCAAAATAACTTTCCAGATCTTTATCCCTCAACTTCTAGTTATTGGATTTTTCTTTTGCTGTGCTCTGGTTTGTTTACCGCTTTTTTTTTGTTATCCTTTTAAATATAGGTTTTAATTTTCATGAAATTTGTATCTGTTCCTATCACCTGAATACTTTCATATATTTCACTCTTAGGTATATGGGTTTTAATTATATCTTAGTTTATATGTCTATCACTTTGTACATTAACTTGTCCTTTTATTTAAAGCCTTATTAAAAACTATTTAAAAATGTTATTGAGATGTGAAGCTGTTCTAACTTTCTACTATTTATTTATTTATTTTGAGACAGAGTCTCACTCTGTTGCCCGGCTAGAGTGCCATGGTATCATCCTAGCTCACAGCAACCTCAAACTCCTGGGCTCAAGCAATCCTTCTGCCTCAGCCTCCCGAGTAGCTGGGACTACAGGCATGCGCCACCATGCCCAGCTAATTTTTTCTATATATTTTTAGTCGGCCAATTAACTTCTATTTTTAGTAGAAACGGGGGTCTCACTCTTACTCAGGCTGGTTTCAAACTCTTGACCTTGAGCGACCCATCCGCCTCAGCCTCCCAGAGTGCTAGGATTATAGGTGTGAGCCACCAAGCCTGCCCTACTTTTTATTTTGATTTAAAAATTTTTGTATTAGCCTTTATTTCTTTCATTTGAAACATCAGGGCTTTTTTCTTTTTTCCTTCTTTTCTAATTTTTAACTTTATTAATTTTATACTTGTTTTCCTAATTGTCCAATGCAGGGGTTGAGGGTTCCTTTATTTAGCCTTTTTCAACTTAATTTTACAAAAGATAGTCTATTTCCCTCCTGGGAGGACCAGGGGAGCATCCTCTGGTTTGGAGGATACCTAGTTTTCCCCACATTCTGGGCCAAGGAAAAGGTGTTTAAAGAATTGAAGTCTCTTGTGACCTGCTGGGTCCTTTTGTTAGGACCTGCAGTGGGCAGTTGTGACTGCACAGATTAGCACTTCATAGATGGGTTAATTTCACTTTCACATTATGGGTCTTTGCTGTCATATGAAAGATGTGAAGTTCTATTCCTTGATATTTCGAACATCATTTTAAGGGAGAACAGAATTCCTTTCAGGGTCAATCCAGGTTTATTTAAATGGTGTCTCGGTCATCTTTCAGAGCCTAAGGTAATATTGTTCACATTCTTAACTTATATCAACTCCCTAGCTCCCTGGCATGATGCGTTGGGATGAATTCATCACCTCTTTCCTCAAAGGGAATATAACTCTCTATTGAATAATCAAATACAACTTCCCCTCTCTAGATGTAATGCTACCCATGGCCCTTTTCTGATTGTAAAGATTAGACATAGCAGTCCTATTTGGTAGCTCTGGCTATTTTGCCAATAAAGCCCACTCCAGTGAATATAACTAAGCTCCATGAGGGCAGAAACTACACTATCTCTAGTGTCAACTCATAGTTGGGTCAGTTATATTTTGACAAATTGTCCTTTAGGTTCACCTACTAAAACAAAGATATACTCTACCTTTGCCTACCAGAGTTTGACTTGAAAGCTCTCAGTTTGTGGGCTCTATAGGGTGAAAAGCCACTCAGTAGTCAGACTGATTCTCAGTAGTCAGATTCTTCTGGAGCCAGAGTATCTCAAGGTGGCTTTCCTGTGGGTTTTAATGTAATATATACCTACATTAAAAAATATCTCTAATGTCTTTGGCTGTTGTTGAAAACAAGAATTGGTCCACCTGCAAGTTTGTAGACAAGTTTTTTGGCCTGTATGAAAGGAATCCTTTTAAACTCTGATCTAGTTTTGTTTGTGAACTAGATGTGATTTGCCTGAAATTAATTCTGGATGCTGAAAACACTGAGGACAGATTCTTGAGCAGAATTACCAGTTACAAACCTGGAATGTGAAGTGGTGGACACCCAGATCTCAGCTATTAGCTTGGTTCAGTGTTCCTAACTGCAAACTAATTTTAACATCCTATTCTTTACTAGTCCTAATCTTTCTTGTTTTTGCAATTCTATTGCAGACTAATGGTTATGGACTAAAAGACCCCTGCAAGGTCAGTGGGAATGGTTTCCTGGTGTGATTTCTAATGAGGTAAAATATGGACACATCCTAGCCCTTTTCAACCTTCTCTTTTAAAGGTTTAGTACCACTTTGCTTAAGACAAAACTATCTTTCCTTTTTAAGTGTAGAGTTCTTTGAATTTGGTTAAACACATAATCGTGTAACCACTAGCACTATTGAGTTATAGATCACATTACCCCTAAAAATTCCCTTCTGTCCCCTTGTAAACTCATCCCCACTTCAGGAGGCCATTGATGTTATTCCTATAGCTTTTCCTTTTCCAAAATGCTATATAAATGGAGACTTTTTTTTTTTGAGATGGGACCCCACTATGTTGTCTAGCAACTCAATCCTGTACTTACCTTGCTGGACATTTCAGTTCATCTCAGAAGTTTCATTGCTCCTTGTTAGGTGTTCTGAGTGCCTTTTTTCCAGGATAAAATTATGTGATTTTCTTTGCTTACTCTTGAACAATTGTGTAGCCATCTATTCAGATATATGCCCATTTTAGATTCCTGTTTCCAAAAGATACCAACCCTATACGTACCCAACATGACTGTTTTGCTTCTTATTCAATCCCCAATAAGGTGTGGAGCTATTAATAGTAAAAATTCAGCGTTTTATTGGCCATTGTACTAGCTAAAAAACCTATCACATTTACCTAAGTATGTATGTCCCCCTCTTTACAAACTCTAGTTGCTCAATGTATCATTTTAAGAATCTTGGGAAAATTCTGATTATAAAGGATATTTGCATTTCACAGCAATTATTCTTTTTTAACCTAGACACTGATTTAACTTACAAAGACCTGTGTACAGGACCAGATCTATGGCTTGGTCTTACCAGGGATTTAGTATTCATGTATTGGTGTTTCCGTTTTTCTTTCTCCTTTTCACCTAATTTACCTTGTATGTCTCACTGACTCTTCAAAACTTTTTTTTTTTGGAACAAAGCAGGATACAAATTACTAATAGAGACTGAGTTCTCTGTGACTCATACTCATTTCTGAAGGCAACTCTTCATAGAAATGTATGTCCTGTTGGGACTTGTTCTTTATCTACCTCAAAATTTTAGGAATTCTGAGGCCAGGAGAGATTACAGGCTACACAAATCTATGATTTATAATTTGTTAAGAAAGGATTCCAGCACTATATATCACATACCCAAATCCATGTTTTTTCTTAAAATATGACTGTTATGTAGGGAATTCTGAAACAGTTTGATCAATGGTGAAGTACATATTACATACTGGAAGCCAAAAATCAGAACCCTACACTGTATAATGAATAATATTTGGTTAATTAAAGTAGACATTTTCTAGTTTTGCTCCTGTTTCAGAAAATGTATGTTTTATGCATTATTTTGTTAGAGGCAGGGTCTTCGCCTTTGTCTCCCAGGCCTCTGGACTGCAGTGGCCTAATACAGTGCTTACCGCAGCCTGGATTCCTGGGCTCAAGCCATCCTCCTGCCCCAGCCTCCCAAGTAGTTGGGATTAGAGATGCAAGCCACTGTGCCTAGCTGTATAGTTATTACCAATATTATTTCTAAACTATTCCAAAACCCATACTGGTAAATAAACAATTTTTAAAAATTATGCTGAGGCTATGCCATGTTTTCTCCTTCCCTGAAGAAAATACGTGCCTTTTAGATATAAATAAACAGGTAACAAATGATCACTGAACATGTTTTTTTCTCTTTATGAAAACTTTGTATGTTCATGAAGACTGATAGCTTCTTAAAAAAATACTTTTAGCTACCAAACTGTTTGTCTTTTATACTAATGCAGGAAAACTTTGACCCCCAGTATTCCCACATATTATTTGTATTAAGCATGTCACTTATGAAATGAGAAGTGATTTCAAGGATTTTAGTGCTGAATCCTCAACTAAACTTTATTTTCTTGTGCTGAACAGAACATATACACATCCATATTAAAAATAGTCATATTAGGCAAATTCAAGTCTGTCAATCAACTTCTAGTCCATAACCAATCCAGTTATATAGTTAGTGAGAAACTATGCAGTTATCAGGTGAACTGATTTCCTTTCTTGGTGGTTCTTTGTGGAACAGATGAGAAGTAAGGTGGCAAAGTACCAGTGAACATTTGGAGAAAATACCTAATTTTCTTCTTAACCCAAGTTAGCCACTGAATAGTCATCTCATCTCAGTTGGCCCATTAGGTTTCTGTGTACTTCCTATTCTATGAGAAAAAACCGTACATCATTCCTTATTTCAGATGTAAGATGCCAGGTGAATATTTTCCACAAATACCTTAACCTCATTACTGGAAAAAAAAAATTTTCCCCCCAAAATTTTTAGCAACGAATGAGTGCACAAACAGCATTTGGATGTTAATCTCATGGTGCAAGGATTTCCTGCCAAGTACCTTTAATGTGTTTGCATCAGCAGCAAGCATTAGGATGTGCTTATTTGGCACAAGTTAGGTGTGCAGCACTACACATGAGACACCAAGTTTTCCCAACCAAATCTATGTATAGAAAAGCTGAACAAAAATATAGTTCTGATAAAGGCTGCATTCTCAAACCCTATAATATAAAGTAATATTTTTTTTCACAATTGAGGATTGCCATTTAGGATTGTTTTGTTAATGATAAATAAAAACAGGAATTATTTAGAAGATAAAATACCTCACTGTTCATTACTGCTATACATTAAATGTCT